TACATGTGATGTCTTAAGCCTTTCCCACTGTCCAGCAAAACTTTTCAGTTCTCACTGAAAGTTATTTACTGAAGCCCTGCTGTCAAATTTGAGGAGACATGTGCTGAGGTTTTGAAGAGCATTACTAGGAAGAGAAACTGTTCTGCCCTGGCTAAACTTCCTGGGGTCCAACCATGCCAAATCTGCAAGAAGAGCTGTGACAAATCGTTTGTGCATTGTTTCTATAACTGTGTCCAGGATGGTGTCGTGCACTTTCACCTCATTTCTCAGCATTGATTTGCTTCAGTCCTCTCTCCGGCCTTTTCTCTTCTTGGCCCTCTTTTCAGGTAGTTCAGCCTCCACTTCCATGTCTGCGTTGTCCTCACTCTCCTCGAGTTTCCGATTTGTCTGTTTCACAAATGTGTCTGCAGCTGACTTCACAGTTGGGAAGTCCCGGGCGATGCTTTTGAGGCTATCTTGTGTGGCAGTGTGGGGTAGCATAACGTAAGCAGCAAGAAAGGTGATAAGTAAACAGCATCAGCAGACTATAAAGGTTCTTTTAAGTATACTTCTACAAAAAAATCAACCTCGTAGGCAAAAATCCCACCTGCTTTATACAAGACTTTACCCACACCTGACCTCGTTAGTCAGACCAAACAATACAATTCCAAACAAAGAACAGGAACAAGATTATGCATGAAACTGACAAACTCACTTACTCAGCTAAATGGTTTGAGAAGTAAAACACTGCATACAATACAACTCAATGACCTCATGACCCTATATAAACAGGAAGTACTGGGGCTTCCCATATACCTGTCCTAAATATATGACCTGAATAAATGGACAAACATGACCAAAGCAACATAAAGAAACATAATTTACCAGACGTTTGCCTGTAAACAGAAGAAAATTCAAATGACCTGATGGTCAGTAGTGTTTGCTTTAAAGAACATGCATGGATGTAACAGATGTAACTACTGCTACCACAAACAAACCCGGGAGAGTGTGTTAAGCGAAGTTACACCAGCAATGTCTAAATTAAAATATTATGGCTGACTGTAAGTGGTAAATGAGTTCATGCCAAACCACTTTGTCACAGGCAGTCACCATGTGATGGGCAGAGAATGTCCTTCGCTCAAACACTAAGAAATGTCTGTGTGTTAACACAGTTTCGAGCTTCTTTAAAACCCCGTGCTCTGGCACAAACAGCTAGGTTTTCTTTTTCAATCTTTTCAGCGTGAGCACTGCATCAGTGAAGAGGCATCACCTGGTTTTCCAAAGTGTCCAAAGATATTTTGCAGGGCATCATACTGGATGTCCATCATAATGGACCGAGGCGTCTGTGTCTCGTCTCTTCTTGGGTTTGTTTCTCCCACAGATTAACCCTGTGATAAGACTCCTTCATGAACACAGCTATGTCATTAAGTAAATTAAAGAGTGATCCACTTTCACTTTGTGTTGTGTCAGCAAGCACAAGATTAAGTTTGTCTGCATAGCACCACACGTGCACATGAGCTGGAGGTTGGACAGTCTCTGGCCCTTCATATCTGAAGCACCATCTGTTGCATTCCCAGTGCACGTGGCCTTGTCCAGATTCAGATGCTCTAAAACTCCAAAAGCAAGTGTGGCGAGAATAAGGCACGGCGGGACCACGGAGTATCATTCGGAGCCATCTTTATTTACATCTCACCACAACAATCACCAAACCCCTGAGTCCCCGTGTTTTTAACTAGGCGGGCGTGATTATTATTTTGACTTTTTTATTTTCTTTCTAAATTATCAGCTTTCTTCCAAACGTGTTAAATTGTTTTGTTAATTTAAACATGTTGCTAACACCACTGCAGCTTTTTGTTACTTCCACACGCAGCTTCCTCCTGTCTTCCACAATTCTCTTTTTGTACTTCCAGTGATTCACCACAGGATGGCGCTCCATCTCTTTGCTTCTCTCTTTCAAACCGAGGCAGACGTTTTTATTTGCGTGAGAAGTTGTCAGATTTATAGTAAACAGGAAGTACTTTGTTGCCATGGATTCTGTGAGTCAAACTGGTGCAGCGGTGTGACGTATACCTTTGAGTGTGATACAGCCTGACACTGTATCACTGAATGAAAAAGTATCTTAATCCTTGATTAAGGTTGTTATTTATGAAAACATGCTCATCTTTTAAAATGTAAGGCTCGCCTATCATCGGCTCTTCTATTCAGGTCTTTAAGTTAGAAATTCCAGTTAGTCGGATGTTTTTGAAGCTGTCCTTGGTTATATGTGGAAAACTCTAACATTAACTGGCCTGTTCCTCCAGCTGGAGTCTTTCCTGGGTTCATGTTGTGTTTTGTCTAATGCCATATTCATGCAGCCTTGCTGGAAGTCAGTTATGTACGTCAGAAAGCCCAGATTACATCTGATTACAAACACTGGGAACACAAATCTTAAACACTTGTTTGGTTTAAATAAATGTGTAGTTTGAATATTTCAGATAAATCTTCTGCTTTGTTATGTTACGTTTTTGAACTTTATGAAATTAAATTTAGGAAAATTAATATAACTTCTATTAAAATGGCAAATACTCTATCCACTTACCTCCATCCCTCCATCCACAGACAACAATAAGAATTTATGGTTATGGTTGGTAATGCAGTGTGTTGTTACAGCCACAAGAGGGCAGCAACCTTAAGGTTTTATCTTTAGCAGCAACATTTATATAGATGATATTTTATTAAAGGTAAATGTTATTCATGTTATATTGACTGTATTATAAAAAGCAGGCAGAATTATAAAGAATAATAAATTAAATCTAACAAAAAACTAGACGTGGAAAATGCAAAGATAAACAAGAATCCTGCAGTTTGAGGCAGTGTGAGGTTTTGACCAGCAGGGGGCAGCAGAGTGAAAGGCAGGAGGAGCTGCTGTTAAACAAAGGTTGGCTCAAATCATGAAATAGTGTTGCATGCGGTGGGTTGTGTATTTTATAGTGATATCCGGTGCACAGTGAGTGTTTCTGTAGCACTTTGAAGTCCTCGGAGTATGCCAGAGTATCTGCACCTGTGTGTTTTCCTCAGCTGTGTCCACTTCCCTTAATTAGACCCGTGTTTATTTATGGTGCTGCCTCCACTTTGTTTCTTGGCGTGTCTGTGAGCCTCTTCTGTGGTCTTTGTGTGTCATGGATTTAGTAAACAGCCTTAATAAACAGGTTTGCTGTTTTTATTCTGGGTCTTCTCTAAGATGCTGTTAAAAAGCTCACCACCCTCCAAAACACCTCCACAGGTAGGTCTTCTGGGCCAGTGGCTTTTCCCCACCTCTCACTCCATCCTCTGCGCTTCCTGATTTTCTAACTGTCATCCTCTCATTTCTACATTCATCACATCCCCAGAGTACTCCTTCCATCTTCACACTCCTTTCACTTGTTAGCACATTATCATCTCCATCCTTAATCACTTCTGTCCTTTCCTGCTTAGTCGATCATTACAAGTCATTTTCTCCTCCTTTGCTATCAGCCTGAAATACAGCTTACTGGGCTTTTTGCTTTGTCACCTCTTTGCCGTACGCTTAAGCTCCCAGTACTTCCACTTTCTTCAGCTTCCTGAATATCCCACTTTTTTTGCTGACCCAAATACCTTCCTGCACTGCCTCATTCCACCACCAAGTCTCCTTGTATTTCTCGATACACCAAACACTTTCTTGGCCGTTTCCTCAGCACTTCCAGTCATCTGCTAAGTCCTTCCCACCACCCAGAGCCTGTCTCAGCTCCTCCCAAACTCTGTGCGGCATTCTTGGCTCTGCATTCACTCACTTCCTCCCACAGACTTCCATCTGATGCCCTCTAGCTGCATTCTCGTTAAATCGAACACTCTTGGCCATCATCCAGTGTTCCTCCCTCCTCTTGAAGTACAGGTTCACCAACAAGCTTTTCACCTGTGTCCCCTTCCCTGACACGTCCACTGAAGTCTGCTTCAAAAAGCTGGTTTAAATGTACCTCTGAGGACCTCAAATACAGCAACAGGCTGTAATGAAGCAATAAACAGCCGATGCAGCTGTTCCTCGTGACATCTTTAACAGCTAAACATCTGGCACGCCTGTTGCCTCCGTTTCTCTGTGTTTCTGCTTCTTTCACCTCGTTTTTGATGGGAGGGTCTAAGATATGAGGAGAGAAATAAAGGATGTACACCCGGGAAATGAGACCTGGAGATGGTTGAAGCCTATTCTTTCATTTTGTGAATTTAAAAATAAATAAATAAATAGTTTCTTCATAGGTCTTGACCATGGAGCCCATAATCTGTTCTTTATATTTCCGTTTCATAGATGTTATTTTGATGTTGTCTTTCCCAGAATTAATTCAGATGACATCAAAACAGAGAAAATAAAAAATCACATCAAAGTAAAATAAATAAATATAATAACAGTATATTTGCTGTGCTAAATTCTTGTTTCTCCTTTTAGTGGCTTTGTTTATAATATATCCAAAATAATTGTTTAAATATGTTTTGCTTTTGTTTAAAATTCTTTCTCTTAGGTTAGTTTTCCTTTAAATTTTTATTTTATTTTTTAATGATATTGTAATTGGTTTTATTTTATCAAACTTGATTCATTTAATACATTTTCTATTAGCAGATTACTGCTTTTGCATTCGTAGCTCGTGATCCTTTTCTTCGTTCTGTTGTTTGTTTGTTTATTCAATCCAGGTTTTCTTTCGATAAACATTGTTTTGCTTGTTTGTTTTCATGACTTCATCACGGGATAAGAGCGGGTTTCCCGGAACTTTGTTCCTTTACATCATTTACAGTCACGACCACCCTCTTACCATTCACAAAAAGTACACGTCCGCTGAGTAAAATAGTTCCCATATTTTGCACATCTTCTTGCTGAATTTAAAGTAAAACTAATACTACAATCAAGCTTTTATGGCAGAAATGCACTAAAGGTTATTTTCTAAAGGGTCAGCAGCACATCGATAGGTCCCGTTTGTTTACTACGTAGTTCGCATTTGGCGGGAAGATTGTAGTGCCGGCGGATGAAGATAAAAAAGCCGGAGTATTTAATGTGTGTGAAGCAGCTGATGGCTGAGTTTCACGCTGAGACGGCAGAGCAGCTGGGCGACACTGAGGGACCGTTATAGCGTCTGTTATCGAGAAACTGAGGATTATTTAAGACTGACAGGCTCTGCTGGACAAAGCCCGCTATAAGTTTACTCGTTCCTCGCTTGAACATTTGGACCTTTTTCACGTTTTCACCTTAACTGTTGGAGAAAAACGGTAAGTTTATGTCTGAAGCTTTCTGGATGCTTTTCTTTGCTGTCGTTTAACTTTTCGCTTAGTCAGTTTAAAATGTGTGCCGAATTTATCGCTGATGTTCGTTCTTCGCATTTTGACCGTTTTTCCTTTGATGCGTGACTCTGAATAAATGGTTCAATGTTATTAAACTAGCGGCGCGCATTTTGACAGCTGAGTTTCGCATATCTGCAGAAGTTCTCGCCTGTCTGGAGACTTTACTCATACTGAAGCTCTGTGTTTAACTCTGCTCTGCAACCTTTACTTATGTCTTTTAACCGCATATTCTGTTCTTATTTTTTGATAAAATTACTACTTTTAAAACTGTTACGCATGTTAAATCCCGAGTTTTAATACATTTGAGTGAGTGTTTGCACTGCAGATGTGTGTAGTGCTGTTTACTGATGAAGGATCTTTGCTTTCTATTATGTAAACTCGGGCTTTAATCCAAAGAAAGCTAAACTAGCTGTTTTTTGAATGGAGTCTGGCATGCTTAACTGATTCTCCTGCACTGTTGTAATATCAGATGGTTTTTGATGTTGTGGTCATGTGCTTGGCTCAGGCTGACCTCCTGTTGTGTTTCTCAGGCCGCCGTCATGCCGCCGGTGTTGAACAGCACAAACTACGATTATGACTACGACGTGGTCCAGCCCTACTTCTTCCTGAATGGTGAAGAGGAAGACTTCTACCCTCCTCCACGCAGCCAGCTCCTGCCGGCTCCCAGCGAAGACATCTGGAAGAAGTTCGAGCTGCTGCCTACACCTCCCTTGTCCCCCAGCCGGAGACCCTCCCTGTCTGCCGCCGACCACTTGGAGGCGGTGTCTGACCTCTTGGACGATGACCACAGCTCCTCTGCAGCATTTCTGCAATCCTTCATCATCCAGGATTGCATGTGGAGCAGCAGCTTCGCCGCCGCCACAGAGCTGGAGAAGGTGGTGTCAGAGAGGCTGGCCTCGCTGCGGGCCCGCCGGGACTCCTGCAACACTAAGACCATCACAGACAGAACAGCTGACGAGCAGGTGGGCGGGTCTCAAGTGAGCGCTGGGTACCTGCAGGACTTCCACACCTCGGTGACAGACTGCATTGACCCCTCTGTGGTGTTCCTGGGTGAGAAGCAGATGGATGATGGTGTGGCGATGGAGGTGGGGTCTGAGCTGAGACTGGACTCGCCACCACCCAGCAGCAGTGACAGTGAATCAGGTGAGTTTTATTTTGAAAAGCCAGCTCTTTAATCCTGAGTATCAGAGTCACTGAACTCTGATTTTCTCCGACCTTTCCTTCACTTCTCATTTACCCTCTGAGACCAGTGGTTAGAAACAAAGAAGCATCAGGTAGGATCCACTTGCATTTTGGGAAATGTAGTAACCCAGTGATTTTCAGAGTATCTCATAATACTGCATCTATTGAAACAGCCCGGCTCAGGTGCGTTGGGGTCCAATCAGCTGACTGAAGTGAACTCCTTAAAATCAGTAGCTGGTTTTCTTCTTGCAGTCAGTACTTTTACATCACAGGAAGTGCAGAGGACAGTCAAATGATGTGGGGGCTCTCAGTGAAACAGTGCCCGTCATCCCAGATCAGACCAGCTGTTCAGAAAGCTTCACCACAGGGCTCTTTCTGTTCCTCATACGTCACCATTATTTTAACGCTATAGTTACTGTGGATAGTAGTGCATTAAAATGTAACCTTAGTCTGAATTAAGCTGTGGATTAAAATATCCACCAGTACTGTCAGTGTCAGCAGACATCTGAGAAATGTTTTCATTGGCCGGTAAATGTCTGGAAACTATGGAAGCGAGGAGTTCAAGGAGGGCACGTTTTCTGTCTCGCTCTGCTGCTTTCACTCGTTTTCTGTCCCTCACTCGTCCATCAGCAGGACGGTGGTTTTGGCTCAGACCGCGATCACTTTTATTTACACCAGAATGTTTTTCCTTGTTTTTCCCAGAAGAGGAAGATGATGATGAGGAAGAGGAAGAGATCGATGTGGTGACAGTGGACAGGAGAAAGTCATCTCGGCGGTCCCACACCTCCCCTCTGGTCCTCAAACGCTCTCACGTCAACATCCACCAACACAACTACGCTGCCCAGCAACCCCCTGAGAAACGGGTGAAGGCGGAGAGCAGCAGCGCGGCACCGAGGCAGAGCGGCGGGCGCCGGTGCTGGAGCCCGAAATCGGAGGGCGAGGACAACGACAAGCGCAGGACTCACAATGTGCTGGAGAGGCAGCGGAGAAACGAGCTGAAGATGAGCTTCATGGTTCTGAGGGACGAGGTCCCAGCGGTGGCCAACAATGAAAAAGCTGCGAAGGTGGTGATCCTGAAGAAGGCGGCGGAGTTCATCATGGAGGTCAGAGAGCAGGAGAGGAAGCTGTTGGCAAAGAAAGATGAACTGAGGAAGAGGAGCAGAGAGCTGAAGCAGAGGCTGCAGCAGCTCAGGACTTCACATTAACATCTGCTCAGTCGTTCTAGTTTCTTCACTTCAGGTTTTAAAGCTAAAAATAATGACCGACGTCACCTGAATGCAGCACGCTGCCCGTGGGGCTCGCTGCTCGTCTGTAATCAGGTTTTCTGTTTTTTATTTATTTTTGTTTTTATTGACTATTTTAATTTAAAGTAGTTTTTCAAACATTCCAGTTTATGAGGCGACAATGTGAATAAATATGTGTCATAACTTTAATTTACAGCTGATGATGAACAATAATTTAATTCACTATATTTAATCTGTTCACTCCCTAAAGCTTTTGTATTTTTAATTTCAGAGTTTATTTTTATATATATTGTTTTTGTTCAAAAGCTTTTTTGCACTAAAAGTACATCAGAAGTGTTTTCATCCCTTCAGAATAAAAGCCCTTCACATGTTGGAGCTTCTCTTGATCTCAAAGTGTCTGCTTTGTTTCTGCAAACCTCCCTGTTTGTTTGTTTGTAAGTCCCAGAATCATGTGGCGGTGTGAAACGTGCCTCAGGCAGCCGCTGGATCCCCTTAGAAGGATCAGCTTAAACCCACAGTGATGTTACCCCACAGTCACTGATAAAATTCAAGTTTCAGTGGAAGTGTTTTCAGCTTCTTGTAACATCTGAGGGTGGAATCGCCAAGTTGGTTCCTTAGAGACAAATTCCGCCTCTTGAAAATGATCCAGCGCATATTCCTGTGGGTCATTTTCATGGCATTTCCTCTGTATTCTGGCCTGAGCTGTTTCTTTTCAGTCATTACTCAACATTTCGGCTGCGTCATCGGAGAACATCCGGCCCAGCGGAGCAGCGCGCTGAGGCTGTCGTGGTGCTGCGCGATTTCCACACTGAACACGGGGTGAAAGTTCAAACCAAATCAGCTGCTCTGCATTTACCAGCCGCATCACTTTAAGAGGGTCAAAGATCAACCGGCATGGCTTTGACTGAACAGTATCTATATACACATAACTCCCTACGCTAGTAGTTAAATAATCTTTTAACTGAATAGCTGTCAAAGTTAATTTAACTCAGGACCACAGAAGAATGTAAAAATCAAACACACCCGAGTTAGTCACATCATTTAATGTAAGTTCAGGCCAATCATGTTCACACAAAGCTGTCAAACATGCAGCTGATCTCAGAAAGCAGCAGGCTGTACACTTACGTAATCAAATATATCCTGATCATGTGTCATACAGCCTGGACTCAGCAAAAAAACTTTATTGATTGAACACAGAGGTGGTAAATGTGTCCATATGCTGAGTCACGAATGTTCCCACCTGGAAGTGTTCGTTCTTCACTCCACAGAGAATTTACAGGGAACTGTAGGGAACGCAACACGATATGAAATTCAGTTTGTGACTTATGCTCAGATCAGTCAGGCAGGGTTTGTGTTCGGCTCGCTCGTCAGATCTGGTTTTAAAGGATTGAAGTTGTTACAATGAAACAAGCTTCACTGAAACAGGCTGGTGTCACAGTCATTTATTTTTACTGTTGAATGTGATATACATGAGTGATGTAAGTAAAACAACAGCCTAAAATCTGAGGTTTCTGAGGCAGAACAGGATAAAGTGTGTTTTTGAAATATACGCTCAAAATGAATGAGACCAATAAAGCAAATGTTTTTTTAATCAATAATCAGAATCAGCATATTTAATCCCTGAGGAAATGATGTGGGTTACAGTTGCTCAGTATAAATAACAGAAACACAGACATTTAAGTAATAGCACAATATATACAAATCGCTCAACAATAAAATAATCAAGGATTAACAGAGGTGATTATAAACAAATATCAAGAAAGCTGACAGGAATATCGCAGAGTAGAAAGAGTGTGTGCAAAAGGGTGTAACTACTGCAGTGTTTGCGCTGTGTTAGAGGGAGATGGCGTCGGGCAGGAATGGTTTCCTGTGTCTCTCGCTGAACGAGCCAGCGTGTCATGGAGTGGGTGGGAGGTGTTATCCAACATTGTCTTTATGACACCACCTTGAGGTGGCTCCATCCCCACAACACTACAGGCCTTACAGATCAGTTTATTGAGTCTGTTGGCATCTGCGACCCTCAGCCTGCTCCCCCAGCATGCAACAGCATAGAGGATCGCACTGGACACAACAGACGCATAGAAAATCCGGAGCATTGTCCGGCAGATGTTGAAGGACCTCAGCTGCCTCAGAAAATAGAGACGACTCTGGCCCTTCCTGTAAAGTGCTGTGGTGTTTTTAGCCCAGTCCAGTTTATTGTCTGTGTACTCCAAGGTATTTATAGTCCTCCACAATGTCAACACTGACCCCCTGGATTGAAACAGGGGTCAAGTGTTTCCTGGTCTTCCTGAAGTCCACGATCAGTTCCTTGGTCTTTGCCACGTTGAGCTGCAGATGATTCTGCTCACACCACGTGACAAAGGAGTCGACCACAGCCCGGGACTCTGTCTCATCATCCCTGCTGATGCATCCAACCACCGCAGAGTCATCAGGAAACTTCTGAAGATGGAGGTCTCTGTGCAGTGGCTGAAGTCTGTGGTGTAGAGGGTGAAGAGGAAGGGGGAGAGGCGGTCCCTTGTGCCCCTGTGTTGCTGATCACCTTGTCAGACACATAACATTGAAGACGCATGTATTGTGGTCTTCCTGTCAGGTAATCAACGATCCAGGACCCCAGAGAAGCATCCACCTGCATCGCTGTTAGCTTATCACCCAGGAGGGTCGGCCTGATGGTGTTGAAAGCACTGGAAAAGTAAAAACCATGACCCTCAGAGTGCTCGCTGGTCCAGGTGGGTGTAGACACGATTGAGCAGAGAGATGATGACGTCCTCACTTCCAAGACGGGAAGGAGATCCTGATGTGGCAACAGTGCTATATGGAGAGGGAGGGAGCGACAGTGGTGTGGCTCAGGCTGACAGGTGAGGTTGTGGGTGTGTGAGCATTCACTGAAAAACAAATTCAACTCGTCGGCTCTATCCTCACCTGAATCCAGTGGTGGTCTTCATGCCACTCAATAAAGGCACATGAGTCAAATTCAGCCTTCATATGGTTGGACTCATCAGCAGCAACGACGTGGGAGTTCACATCTCAGACAACCTCACCTGGACCACCAACACCACCTCCATCACCAAAAAGGCCCAGCAGCACCTCCACTTCCTGGGACACCTGCAGCAGCCAACCCTCCTCCCATCCTCACCATGTTCTACAGGAGCACCATGGAGAGCGTTCTGACCAGCTGCATCTCCGTGTGGTTCAGAAACTGCAATGTTGGTGATCTCAGCAAACTACAACAAATTGTTAAAGCAGCTGCCAAGATCACTGGAACATCTCTCCCTCTGCTGCAGGACATCTTCCACAACTGCTGCATCAGTAAGGCCTCCGGCGTCATGCTTGACCCCTCACACCCCTCATGTGGACTCTGTTCCCTCTGGCAGACCCTACCGCAGCATCGGGGCCAGATCCTCCAGACTGCGGTTTAGCTTTTTCCCCCAAGCCATCAGACTCCTGAACTCACTGCCGCCCCCTCGCAAACATGGGGTCTCTGAAAAGACGTTCTGAATATGACTTTTGCAGGGAAAATAAAAGTATCTTTTGATATTCTTCTGACTTTTATTTCACTCATCTGTTTCTGATATTTAATCACTGATAAAGAGTCTGGGCGCCGGCCGTGAACTTTCCTTGTTGCGTCTAGAGTTCAGGCATGCAAGAAACAAAAGAAAAGAACCACTTTGATAACAGCATCAGGACAGGATCCTCTCTCATTCTTTCCATGAATAAAAAACTCATTTCTGAGTCGCAGTGACTCAGGCTGATTCGTGGGAACAGTCCAGACTGCTGAGTCATGCTGAAAACCTGCAGATCGTCCAGGACGGTCAGCAGTGACTGAGGGGTGACGAGTTTCCGGTTTCTGCTGCTCCAGAGCTTTGTTTCCCACTTTTTCCACGTTTCTATTACCTCAGCGCTCATGTTTCTGATTAATTCTCAGTTTGAATTTGAAATCTGCATTAAGAATATTTTAGAAGAAAGCACAAACAAGCAGCCGCTAAGGGACACGGAGCTTTGAGAGATGGAAAGGACTTTGAAGAGGTCTCAGCGACACTAAGACGATTCTTGTTCGTCCACACAGAGAGACATATGAGACTCTTTGTGAACCTCCAGGTGTCCAAACCACCGTGGACAGCTGAGTGTTGCTCTGAGGTTCCAAACAGAGAAGCCTGTGGACCCACAGCCTCTGAGTGACTGACTGTAAGGTGCCAGGAAGAAAATCCACATGAAGATAAAGAATGGGCTCTCGGGTGTCCACTGGGCTTTTAAATGCCTCCCACAGCAACCATAAATGAGTCCAGTGTGTCCTTGAATAAATCATGAGGTGTTTTATGGACTCCTAAATCTCCTCATAAAAACATATAGTGGGCTCTTAGGTCTGTGGTAGTCAAGCGTGCAGTGGGTAATCAGATGTCCCCATGCAGACTTGTTGGGATTGTCATGTTTCCATTTATGTCTTTTAAGGATCTTTCAGGAGGTGACAATAGACCCTCTGCTGTCAAACGAGCCATTTGAAAAGCACATACAGGGAATATCATGTGTCCACCTAAAGACATTAGAGGCTCCGGCACCCACACAGGCAAAATGCCAAGAGGAAGTGGGGACGTGTACTCAAGGGAATTTCTGCATATTCTTGTTTGTACAGGGCATCCAGGTGCTCTCATTTTCCTCTTGAGGGGAATTTGGGAACGAATAAACACTATAAAAGCTCCATAAAAGACTGAGACAAATTCCTGTGACCACTGAGGCGATGGCAGGACTCCCACCTGCTGCTCATAAATCAGGAGCTGCACTTTCCTTGCGATAAACACAGTTGGAGGTCTCCTTGAAAAGCAGAGAGACTCCTTTGGCGTATCTTTTCCTCTGAAAACACACAGTGTTGAAATACTCCTGCTGAGCAGCTTCATCCAGACTGTTCGACGCCAAATGATGTTTTAATTTCTGCTGAGTTACAGTCGGGACAAAGCTGGAAGCTGTGAATCTCATCAGGCAGGCAGAAGGCACGGATCAGGCGGCAAATCTGCCAGACTGGTGTTTGTTCGCGCTCTCTGACAGGAAGCTCGCAGTCACATGATCTGAGCTCTCAGGGTGGCAAACAGCAGATCAAAGAGAATTCACAAACCATCGGGGGTGTGGTACATGTTGCTGTTACTTTAGCCATGTTGTCAGCAGAGTGGGATCTAGTTTGTGGTGATTACACGTTGATACAAAAAGCCCCTTAAAAACATATTTGTGTGTAACTCTGTTGTTGTGTTTAAGTGCTGCACTGTACCAAAGACAAACACGTGAGCTCAGTGAACCTTCCTACATGGATGCAGGTTCAGTGGCTGCCGGTGCTGTTCCCACTTCCTGCTGCAGAAACTGCAGTTGAACTGCATAATTTGAGATATTCAAATAA